CCGGGGACACACCGGGACCAGGGAGGGCGTCCCGCGGGGGACACAGCGGTGCGCTGGAGCCGCTCGCTGCCGCGGGGGCCTCGCCCCGGGGAGGCACCGGCGTTGTCCCGGTGTATGGAGGGCAAAGACCGGCGGATCACGGAAGGCCGCGGGCTAGCGGGAGCCGCCCTCCTGCCGCCCGGAGCCGCCGGCACCCTCCAGCCTTCCTGGCGCCGGCACTGCGAGCAATTGGTGCTAAAGGGACAGCACCCGGCGCTTGGGCCCCTCAGAACGCCGGGAGCTGGGAGGGCTGGGGGCATCGCTTGGGGATGGGGACCCCCGTCTGCCACCCCCAAGGGCTCATCGCTGCCTCATCCTCCCCGGCATCGTCCCCACAGCTGGAGGTTGAACTGGGGCCGGCTGGGAGGGGTTCGGAACGCTGTGTGCTGTGGCAGGTTTGGGAACGGGGTACCTCTCCCGGCTTTTTTGCGTTGGGGTGAGCTGGAAGTAAAGACGGAGAGCGCGTATAGAAAGCGAGAGTGTTGTTTTAACCTTTAACGCTGGAGTCGGGAGTGCTGGCAGTGTTTGTCAGGCTGAACGCTGGGACCAGTACTGCTTATTTCCTTGTGCTGGTTTTATGTCTCCTGCCTCCATTTTCTGCTGGTGGAGGCTGCTGCTTGCCAAGCTGGTTCCTGCAAAGCTGGATCAAAGGGCAGACTCTGGATTGCTTCAGGGTGCTGCATGCTGGTCTGACCTGAGACACCCCAGTGTGAGCCTGGGCATCAAGGAAAGGAGAGTGTGGGTCATGTGCTGGAGATAAATAAAGGCTGCTGGAAAAGCCACCGTGGCAGGTTGGGATGAGCTGAGCATGTGGGAAAGCGTGAAGTTCTGGTGGGGTGAGCAGGGAGGAGAAGCCATCCTGGCCTTGTTCTCACTGAAGTCTGGAAATGCCTTGTATCAGTCCTAGGAAAAGGTCTCTGAAAGCAAGAAGCTTGAAGTCAAACTATTGCCTCTTCTGTTGAAGTTTAGGAGGTAATTTGGTTGTTATCTCAAAATATTTTTGCAATGGCAAGAGCTTCCTTGCAAGGAGATTCCAGCCTCAAGAGCAGAGGAGACAAAGTGCTACAGTGATGAGAAGTACTTGTGTGGGTTTGATTTAAAACCCAAGGCCAGTATTGTTGGCTGAAAGGGCAGCCCATTCAAGGATGCGAGGATACATGGGAGGGTGCATGCTCCAGGCATTGGTGGGCACCTCAGCATCTGCCTGGCTGGGGCAGCCAGCTCATGGAAACCTGGGTGGTAATGCTGCAAGAGGAGCTCAGTTCTGTGCCATGATGCAGGAATCTGTGAAGCCCTGCAGATTGGCCTGCCCTTTCCTGAATCACCCATGTGGCCCTTGAGTGGCCCCTGTGCTAGGGATGTTTTCAAAACTTGGCATGGCTTGGTGCATCAAGTACAAAGTCACCTGGTGCAGGTGCCTGTAGCCAGTGAGAGGGCCTTGGGGTCACTGCACATCATCAGCTCAGGAGGTCCAGGACTGGCAGAGAAGCCACCACATCCTGGGCTGATGTTGTTACATTGAATTAAACATGATGATGAGTGCCTTCTTCTGTAGCGCCAGCCCTAGATGCAGGTGACATGGCTGGGGGTGTTGACAGTCCTGGAGAAGGATTTTTTGTTAATAAGAGCTCATGGGGTAACTGTGGGGGACATGCACATCTGGAAAGAAAGGGTTGCACAGAGGACTCAGCCGGGGCTGGCAAGGCAGGAGAACAGGTGCAGGTAGGTTTCTGCAGAGGTGGCTCATGTGTCCTGAGGGGGTCACGGCATGAATCCAGATCAGCTGGGTAATGTTCAGGCAAGTTTGAATTCTACTGCCAGTTTGAAGGGGAAGAAGTGCTCTCCAGCCCTTGCAGGGGTTTTGGGTCTACAGAACGCAAGGTCTTTCTCCTCGTTATTTTTCAATCCTGGTAAAGCTGTTAATAACCAGCAGTTGGGCTTCTCTTCTTGGCTTGCATGATTTTGGGAGAAGCTGGCAGGAGAAAAGTTTGCTATTGAGATGGTAAAATTACTTTGGCAGTGGCAATAAATCACAAACTTTTTCTACTGTGTTCTCCTGTAAAAACTGCTTCCTATAAAAATCAATCTCCTGCCTCCTTTCCAAAGAGTTGGGTTGCCCCACTAGGCTGTGCTGCAGCCACTCTGCCTGGGCACATTATTTCCTGTTGCCAGAAGCCTGCTGGGGAAGCTGGATTGATTCCCTGACACTGGGTTGAAAAGGAGTAGTAATCATTTCCTTGAGAGAGGTAAACACTGCCAAAACCTCGCCTTGGCAGGGTAAGGCTGGGGCTGTCCCGGCTGGAGAAGAGCAGTTGCAGCAGAGATAGCTGGAAGATAATGGCAGGCCCTGATTCAGGGCAGTCATGCAGGACAGGCTGGTTCCCATCACACCCTGAACCTCTGTGAGCAAAGCATCTGTAGACAGTCAAACGTAAAGCTGGGTCTGTAGGAGTGGAGAGCAGGCTGCAGTTGGATCCTGTGAGAATGCAACCCAGAAAATCTCACCCTGAGAGGGATGTGGGGATCTTAGATATTGGTGAATGAAGGTGAATGCCCAGTGAACAGCCAAAAAAGCGTGTGCAGGTTGTTTCTGTTTGGGAAGCAGTCATGTTGTTATGGAAGACCTTCTCCCCTGTGCTCCTGGGTATACATGTCCTGGGGGATTACTGCTCATTGCCCATCACCTGTGCTCTGCATCCTGTGAAACCAGGGGCAGGACAGGCTGCGTGCTCCTGGTTGGGATGGGTTTCTGCTTGGCAGTATGGCATGGGTGTCTGCAGGTAGCTCAGGGACATTGCCCACTTTGGGGGCTCTTGGGCCCCCACTGCCCACCTGGCATTCCAGGGCTATGGAGCTGCCAGCTGGGTCTTGCCTGACTGTTTGCTTGGTAAGCTTCAGCAGAATTTGGTCTGGTAGCTGATTTCTGTGTGCTAATTGTCTCTGTACAGAAGGCTTAACTTGGGGCAGTTTATTAGCCAAAGCCCATACTTTACAAGCCAGTACTTTACTGACTTGGAGCCTAGCCCTGTGTCTCTTGCCTGGAGTGGTGCTGGCACACCCAGCTGCAAGTGTGCCCCTGTTTGGATGTCTTGATTCCCAGACCTTTGGGTGAGAAATTATGTGATGGGCAGTGCTGGTCTGTACAGCTGGTGTGTGGGCAGAGGCCAGTCCCCAGGATCCTGCCAGCTGCAGACAGCAATCATCACCACTTCCAGGGCAAGGCTGCCCTGTGCCCTCTGCCCCTGATGATGTGGCACAGGGGTGTGGTAGTGTGTGGAAATGGGGATGTGGCGGTAGAGGAGCAAGGCTCGTGTCCTTGGAGCAGTGTGTGTCTCCTCTGGGCTTGTACCTCTGCTTGCAGGCCTTCCTTAGCAGGACATTGCATACCAGGCATGGAGGTAGTGCTGGTCCTTGTGTGCATTCCCACTTCCCCATGAACATTTGGGAAAGCCTCCTGTGCTACATGAGCTGGGAGTCCTGCTCTTGAGTTGCCTTTGCAGTCAGTCCTGAGCTGCCTGAACTCTGCCTGTTTGTGCTTGCTGACCAGTTCCAGATGGGTGATAGAGCCTTATCACCCCTTGTGCCATGGGCACAGGGACACAGGTTCCTGCTGTACATCTCTACGTGGAGGGAAAGCTCAACCTGTGCTCATCCTGCCTGGTGACTCTGAAGGGATGGTATTGCCTGCTCCTGACTTCTTCAGTGCTTTTCTTTCCCTTGCAGATACTTCAGGTGGTGGTTCAAGAAGACCCGCATAGAGAAGAAATCTGCCTTCATTGACCTCTTGTGTGCTGTTCCTCTGCAGCAGATCTATGGTCAGCTTCCACTTTGGGTACTTGGGTGGGCAGGGATTCACATGGTGCCATCAAGGTGCTAGATGGAACAAGCGAGTCAAGGAGCTTGTGTGATATGGGTGATGCCAAGTGGCTTTCTCCTCTGTGGAGATGCAAGTGGCAGAGATGCATGAGGGGAGTTCCTGAGCCAGGTGCCAGCAGAGGGAAGAATGGGGGTGCTAACTATTGGTGTCTTTGCCAGGGTGTCCGCTGGGTGGGATCGGAGGAGGCACCATCACCCGTGGCTGGCGGGGAGAGTTCTGCCGCTGGCAGCTGAACCCTGGCCTTTACCACTACGAAACGGTCATTGCCAATCAGGTAGGGTCATTGAGGGGAGTGGGTGTCACTGCAGCAGGCTGGGCCGGTGGGACATCTGCCACAGGGCCCATCTCCTCCCCTACATGTGCTCTCTCCTCCACAGTTCACGGTGTGCCTGCGGTGCAAGGGGCAGACGATTTACCAGCAGGTCTTGTCCGTGGAGAGACCCAGCAGGCTGCAGGGCTGGAACTGGGGCTACTGCGGCCACTACGCCTTTTACCATGCGCTGTACCCCCGTGCCTGGCTGGTGTACGAGCTGCCGGGGCAGAAGGTGGTGCTGACTTGCCGGCAGCTCTCTCCGGTCATCCCCCATGACTATCAGGTGAGGCGGGGCCGGCTTTCCCAGCATTTCCCGGTGTCTGCGCTCAGCCGCGCTCCCAGGCGGGGGAAGCGGCGCAGCCGTGCGTGCGGGAGCTCGGCATTGCAGCAAGGGATGGCTCGGCGCTGCCACACTGCCCGTGCTGGCTGCCAGCCCCAGGCGAGGGTGGCAGCTGTGCTGCTGACACGTCTGACCTTCCTCTTACCCCGGCGCAGCACGTGAGCCTGTATCAACCTGCCGAGCAGATGAGTGATGAGGCACCCGCCTGAGCCCTAAACGCCGCTTTCCGCCTCTCTGCTGCCCGCCCTGGTGTTTGCCAGCCCAGGGCTTCTCTTTTGAATTTGATCTTGCCGAAGGGCCTCCCAAATTCCTGCGCTCCTGCTGCTCCTGCTGCTGCTGCTGCTGCTGAGCTTGGCAGCAGGCGCCCAGACCGAGTTACTATTGCCGGTGCTCTTGCTGCCGCTGCACGGCGTGTGGCGTCCCCAGCAGCGGGGGAAATGATGCCGGGGCAGCTGCCTGTGGAGCAGCAGCCCTGTAGGACAGCATTGTGTGTCTCTGCCAGGACTCCAGCTTGCCAGTGGGAGTGTTCATCTGGGAGGTGGAGAACGGGAGGGATGAGGACGTGGAAGTGTCCATCATGTTCAGCCTGCAGAACGGCACGGGAGCGGAGGAGGACAGGAGCGGTGGGCACTGGAACGAGCCCTTCACCTTCCAGAAGGATGGCGAGCGGGTGGCTGGAGTCCTGCTGCACCACTGCCCAGCTGTGAACTCCTTTGTTATGAATATGTTAGTATCCTTTGTCAAAAAGACATTAGTTCACGATTAATTAGGTTAATAAAAGTTATGTAAGTTACATGATGGTTGTATGAGGATGTTGTAATGAGGGAGTTATCCAGTTGAGAACTTTCTGGAAGTTGAATGCTGCAACCAGGAACAATGTGGTGGACTGCAATTGGAGGAGAAAACTACCAATGAAGAGGACTTATGAAAAAATAATTGGTGTGGAATGCTCCACCATATGAACCAAAGAAAGAGCTTAGATTTGGAGAGCTTCGATGAGGAGTCCAAAATGGACCAATCGGACTGGTGGCAAACTTATAAAGAGAGTAAAGGCTGATATTTAGGGTCTTCCAACAGGGCCAAGCCTCCTGAGGAATGCCTGGCCATGTTTTTTCTGTATGGGCTGTTAACTGTTAAAATTTTCTCTGTTTTGTCAAGTGGGTCCTGGGCTTATCCTGGGGCTCTGTCCTCAATTAGTGATTTGTTTTGTTTAATAAACAGGGATACACTTTCTGTAAGTGTATGAGCCGTTTATAACTCCTTCACTCTGGCCATTTCTGCCCGGGAGAAGGTAAAGGGCTGGCCCTGCTGCTGGGGCTCCTGCTGGGGAGGATGTGCAGCCCTACTGGATGTGGGGAAGCTGCCTGCAGGCAGCTGGCAAAGGATGGGTGTACAAGGGCTTGGGGTTGACAGCGGTTCTCAGCGCTTGCCTGATGCCAGGAGTGGGGACATGACTCCCCTGAGAGCAGCCTCTTTGGGGGTGGTGTCAGGAGAGCAGCTGAGGCAACAAGTTTGGAGTTGGAGTTGCTGGGCAGCACATGGGGAGTGAATGTGATCTCCTGGTGGTGCTGTTGGGGAGTAGAGAGCGTTAATCTTGTCCTCCAAAGCAGCAGCCCCTGATGATGCTCTTCCCTTCCTCAGGCTGGCACGGGAGTCACCCATGTCACGGCATTCAATCCCATGGGATTGGGCAGAGAGGTGTGGCAGGACCTCCTGCAGGATGGCAGGCTGGATTCACCCACCGGTGAGTCCCTCCATCCTGCGTGGGATGGGAGTGGGGGGAGCAGGGGAAATGGGTGGCCATGCTGGTTCTGGGCACCCAAGTCAGGGCAGAGTTCTTTCCTGCAGCCTGCTTGGATGATAAGAATTTCTCCAGGGTGCTGTGGCTTGTTCCCAAATTTGGGCAGTATCCAAACTTCCCATTGCTTGTCCTTGTTGTGATTTCCCCAAAAGCTGTTCATACCACTTTGGGACTGTTCTTGGGTATTGGTTACACATGCCCAAGTCTGTGTGTGGTTGCCCACTAAATTGAGATTTCTGCTATGGAGCCAGCATGCTGCCCAGACACCTCTCCTCAGTTCCTGTTCCCAGATAAATGATCTGTGTCCTGTCAGATTTGTTCTTCCCTGCGTTTAAAAGTGCTTGGGTTTTAGTGCTGCCATTACTTGCTGTCCTCTTCCTACTGTAACAGTTCTCTGAACATCTCTGGTATTCCTTTGATAATTCTGCATCCATCCTTAGGTGTCTGGTCACTCCCTTAGGAGGAGTCTTGAAGCAGGGTGTCATCTCCAGCCTTTCCTGCCCACCTCCTATTGTCATATTAGGTGACCATTTCCCTAATGTCTGTCAGTTTTTAAGCAAGGATGATGCTGACAAACTAATGATGCTGGGTCTTTGCACAATTTCTTGAGGCCTAAATTATGTAAATGAAGTGTCTACTATGTAATTTTTTCCAGAAAAATAAGCTTCCTGCCTAGATGTACTCAGAGCTCTCCAGGCTATTGGGATGTGGTTTTCTTTCAGGCATGCCAGGCATTATTATAGTCAGGATCTGTGCTTATGCTGCTCTAATGAGTTTACCTTGTATACATGTCAGAACCAGCATATAATTATCCAGCCACCTCAGGGCTTTTCTTAAATACCAGCATGGCACAAGCACCCTGCAAAAAGCTGGAAACAATGACTGTCCCTAGAAAGTCACAGTGTCTCTGAGGGCTGGGCAGATACAGAGTCATGGGATACTCTGTAGCTTCCATTCATGCCTGGTGACTTTTCCTGCCTGATTTGTTCCTGTTCTTGGATGACTGAATCCTTTTAACCACTCCTCCTGTGGAAGGTATTTTTTTCCTGCGGCAACGTCATTCTTTAAAGCCTTGGGCTGTACCTTCCAGGTTGTACAGGGGCTTTGGTATGCCCACTGTCATCTCCCTCAAGGGGTGCGTGAACTTCAGTTACCCTCCCTTTGGTCTTTTTTGGTTGCTTAAGAATATCTTAATTTTTCCTGTCAGGTAAAAGCAGGCCAACAGAGAAGGGGGAGGTGACAGCAGCAGCAGTATGTGCCAGCTGCCAGGTGCCTGCCCATGGGCACAAGACACTGGAGTTGGCCCTGGCTTGGGACATGCCCTGTGTTCACTTTGGCTCCAAGGAGAAGCTGCACCTCAGGTAGGTGGGTTGTCTCCAGTGGTATTTGCCTCATGCCCATAAAGCCCTCTTTTTCCTCTTTCCTGACTTGTGTACCAAGTGGGGACCTTTTGCCACCCACTCCTCGTGGCTGTGTCCAGCTCAAGGAGCTCAAGGAGGGGACCCTGAGAATACCCCCTGCTTCCCAGTAGCAGCTGAGTTCTGCTGTTCACTGTAGTCCCGTGTCCCTCTGTGGTGTCTGTGTGGGTTTCCCAGGTGGAGCCCATGGGGTGCTCACCAAACCCTCACTTGGCAGGCGGTACACCCGGTTTTTTGGCAGCAAAGGCGATGCTGCACCTGCCCTGTCCCATTATGCCCTGACACACTACAAGGAGTGGGAGAGGAAGATCGAAGCGTGGCAGAATCCCATCCTGGAGAACAGGTAGGACAGATGAGAGCACCTTCCCAGTGCCCCCCTGGGGTTGGCTGCCACAGGAGCATCACCAGCTCGGCCTCTGAGGGTGAGCTTCCCTCTTTCCCGCAGCCAGCTGCCTTCCTGGTACAAGTCAGCCCTCTTCAATGAGCTCTACTTCATGACGGATGGCGGCACCATCTGGATGGAGCTGTCCCCTGACTGCTGTGCCGAGGACCTGCAGGGGCCGGCGGGGGCGGGACTGTCTCACCTCCTCCCTGTCCTGCGGGAATACGGAAGGTTTGCTTATTTGGAAGGTAACTCACAAGGACGTGAGGGATTCTCCCAACTCAGCCCCTCCCATTACTGTGGCCATCTGTTTTTCACCTGCCACGGGGATGTTTTTCACACTCCAGTGTGTAGAGAGCAGTGCTATTGCCAGGAAAACCCCTTTCTTAGCAGCCCCAAAGGATTTGGCCTGAAGTGTTCCCCAGATCCCTGGGGAATCCCTGTGTAGAGAATGAAAGTGTCTTTGAACGGGAGCCCCTGCCCGTGGTGGGAAAGATCCTCCTGTCGTGGGCCATGTGGAGGGAGGACCTTTCCCCCTTTTCCCCTGGCCAGGGCAGTCTCCTTTCCCTCACCATCTGCCCCGTCCCGCCAGGCCAGGAGTACCGCATGTACAACACCTACGATGTCCATTTCTACGCCTCCTTCGCTCTCATCATGCTGTGGCCCAAGCTGCAGATCAGCCTGCAGTATGACATTGGTGAGTGTCCCCAGAGGCCCTGCCTTGGTGCCTGCTCAGGGCTTCACCTCGGGAAGAGGCGGAGGCTTTGGGACAGGGGCTGCTGTAGGGATGTGTGCCACGGAGCCAGCATCCCCCTGCAGCCGCTCTGCTGTGCCCAGGGCTTGCAGGCCTGGAATGCTGCTGCCTCAGCATCTCTGTGCCCAGCACTGGGGGTGCCCTCTTGCCATGCTGGGCGTGCACAGGTGGCTCTGCCTGCCCTGGGGGAGCCCCTGGTCTTCCCAGCTCTGTCCTTGTGCCTTGCGGAGCAGCCACACAGAGCTGTGGGAGATGAGCCTCAGGCCATAGCTCCAGGTGGAGCAGGGTTCTGCTGGTCAGCACCAAGTGTGGTCCCAGAGAGCACCATGAGGTGGTTGGGCTGACAAAGAGGAGCCCAGGCACATGCTGGCCTTCAGGGGCAGTGACAAGAGAGGCAGCACAGTGCCATGGTGGGGAAGGGGAACAGGGGCACTGATCCACAAACAGAGGAGACTGTGTATGTTTGCAGCAAAGCTTTATTGGGAGAAGCAGGGCCTGAGGCAGGAGGAAGGGCTACAAGCCTGGCACTGACTCCTCTCTGGGAACTCCAGTTCTACCACCCCGGCTCCATGGGGCTTTCCAGGCGCTTGAATTCGTTGTAGCCGACCCTGTGGGGACACAGACAAAGGAGATGTAAGGGTGGGACATGGCAGTGCCCAAATGCCCAGCCAGCCCTGCATCCTTCCAAACATTTGCACCTTGTCAGGACACCCAGGGAAGCTGTGCTCAAGCACCCTGTCCTCCCTGACTTGCACGGCACCCAGTGCATGGCAGCAGCTCTGCCGAGCACTGAGCACCACAGGCTGGGAGCAGCACCCTTCATCCCCATGCTCAGACCACTCAGGATTGCTTCTTGGGCCTTTGGCTTTGGAAATGTCTCTCAGGTGGTGAAGCTCCCCTTGAACTTGTCACAGACACTTTGCACACCAAGTCCTTCTGTTGCCTAATCAAGGAAAGCAGTAGTCCAAAGGCCTTGGGATATCACTTGCCTGAATCACAGCCCAAATGGAACAATGTTATCCCTACTGGAACTGTGGAAAATTCCTGTAATTACCATCCCACACTATATCCAGGATGAAGACTGACTGATCACTAAGGTCAGTCACCCCATGACTTTACAACAAGACTCCTAAGTGAGCCCCTTGAGCTCTCCTGGACCACTGCAGGGGCTGTGCCACCATCTCCCTCCGAGTGCTTGGCTGAGGGGATGTGAACAGCCCGTAGCAAGTGCACTGTGACTGCTGGCAGCTTGGATCTATAATGAATGCTCTGCTCTAATTGTGATAAACCCTTCCAAACTACTTTATAAAGGTTAAATTAGTCAATGGTGAAGTGCTGCCAGATCCTTTGGACGGAAGCCATGGAGCAGGTCTGAGTCTAAGAGTGGAATCAGCCCCACCTTGGATCCGTCAGTAGTTTAGAAAGCAGTGGGTACCTCCCTGCACTTTGTGATTCATGTGAAGGGTCTCACTTCTCCTTTTCCTTCTTCAACTCCAATCATTCTGAATTGATTCTAACTCCCTTTTTCCTTCCCATGTTTTACCCCTGAACAAAGCAAACAAGTGAACCTTGCCTGGGACGTCGCTAAGTTTCACAAACAGATACTAAACCTGCTTTGTTCAGCACGTGTGAGAGTGACTCCTTAGTGACACAAACACTCATTTGTGACAGTCCCAACCCTCGTGGGTGCACAGGGGGCCTGTGCAGAGCAGGGACAGAGAACTCACAAGGTGGCTTTCCAGTCGTCTATGGGTTTGTCCGCGTGTGACCTCAGCAGCCACATGGTCTTCAACACCTCCTTTCCATCCTCATCCACGAAGCACTGGCCCGTGAAAACCGTGATGGAGTCTGTGGGGACAGGACAGGAGGTGGAGGGGAGTGTGGCCCAGGTGGCAGGTCAGTGGCTGGCCCAGCACAAGGGACAGCAGGGATGGGGACAGCAGGCAGGAGGGCTCAGAGGGCAGCGGGTGTCCCACGGAGAGGGGCAGAGAGCGCCGGCTTCAGCCCCTGCTGCCTCTGCTGCACCCTGGCACTGGGAGCTGACAGCAAGCAAGGAGCTCCAGGGACAAGGGTGGGGGAGCCTCAGGGAGGGGAAAGGGAGAGCAGTGGGGATGGTGCAGGGGAAGGCAGGGAATCAGCAGGGACACTGCAGGCAGGGACAGAAGGGAGGCTGGTGGCGCAACAAGGATGGTGAGAAAAGAGTAAGTACCTGAGAAGGTCCAATGGACAGTGAAGCCAAAGGTGGGCTGCTTCAGCAGATATGGCTGGTGCTGGGACCCCAGCAATGGTGACCGCTCGATCTTTTTTGTGGTAGCTGACACAGCTGTGTAGTATATGCCAGCAAAGTCACCATTTGATTTCATGGTCATGATGGTCATGTTGGAGCCCAGGTCATTGACCCAGCGCCCGGTCAGGGAGCACTGCAGAGTAAGGAACTCAGCACTGGTGCCTGCAGCCACAGCCCCCTGCCCTCCCCACCCTCTGCATCCCACCCTGACGGTACCTTTTTCACAGAGAGGCCGTGAGCCCCCAGGGCCAGGAAGAGCACCAGGAGGAAGGGAGTTGCTTGCACCATCTCTGCAGCAGGCGGAGAGCAGATTGGGATGTCCTCCTTGCAGGTGTCTGCTGATGCTCCTGCTCCCTCTCCTTTTTATTGCTGCCAGGGCTGTGGGTGGCAGCTCTGGTCAGGGTATTATACAGTGTGGGTGTTTCCATATTTGGTTTAAACCCCTGATAGTGAATCCAAATGGGAAGGGTGGGACACTTCCAGTCAGAGTAACTGGATGCGTGACCATCTCCTGAAAAAGACAGGAATTCCAGTAACTCCTCGTGGAGGGTGATTCTATAGCTGCATATTTTAAACACAGCACTTTAACACTCCCATACTATATACATCACAATTTTCTACTTGTAATCAAAACTAATTATTTTATATTATTAAATACATTATTCTAACAGAAGATTTATAATATCCTCAGATGTCCCCTGCCCTCTCTGTGGTATCTTTAATGCTCTTCTCACTTGCTGCCCTGGCCATGCTCCCTGCCACCTCCCTCTGTGTCCCTCTCATACTCCATCCCTGTCCAGAGGGATCGGGGCTCTCCTACCCCATGGGTGTCCCTTGGCAGCAGGCTCAGCTCCCTCTGATATGAAAGGAGCAGGGCCCGGGCACCACGCACAGCCACCACCACCATGGGCACCCCAGGCTGCTGCTGCTGCTGCTGGCCCTGCTCGTGCCCCGTGGTGCTGCAGCCAGGCAGGTAAGGGCAGCTGTGGGCAGAGTCTGGCTGTGCTGGGCTGTGCTGGGCTGTCCTGGGCACAGGGTGAGGGGCTGCACGCCCTGGCTGTGCCATCCCTGCAGCCCCTGTTTTCTCTGTGCCACAGCGTTTGTGCTTGAGGGGCTGCATGTTCTGGGTGTGCCGTGCTGTGCCATGCAGACCCACACCCCACTGCAGTGTCCATGATCAAGGAGGTAGCCAGCTCTGGCTGTGCTGCCCCTGGGGGTCCTGTGGGTCTCCTACCCGTGCTGTAGGGGGGTACCCAGTACCTCCAGCTCTGCTGCCTTGCCTAGAGACTGGGGGTGGCTTTCCCAGCTGATGCCCATGGGCTGGTCCCAGCTGCCAGGGGGAGGGGCTGTGCCGTGGGACACACATCCTGCCGTGCTGAGGGAGGCTGAAAGTGGAACTGTGCCTTGGCACTGACCGAGCCACCCACACAAGCCCCAGGGTCACGTGCAGGGTATGTGGAGAAACGAGCCAGGCTCTTATATAACTCTTTTAGCCCTGAACACAGCTGGGAACTTCTTGGGCTCCTGCTTGGCAGCCACCAACAAGGTGATCCCAATGTCACCCCTGCAAGGAGCCCAGCAGCCAAGAGCTACCCCACCTTTGGCTTCACCGTGCAGCGGCAGTTTTCAGGTACAGCAGTGCCAGCAATCCCCTGCCCATGCTGGGAGGGGAGAGTCCCCCAGCTGTCACCCTTAATTCCTCATGGCACCCGGAGGAACCCTGGCTGTGGGCACAGAATTGGCCCACATATCTGCTCCTGCTTTGGGACACGGAGGAGATGTGGGACATGGGATTGTGGGGGTGTCTGTCTCCAAGAGCATCACAGGCAGAATGGGAGCTTCAGAAAATGTTTATTAAAAAACCCCTCCCACTGAATCACTAGGTTCACAAAGGATTCTTTAACTCTAGAATCCTGCCCAGTGAAGAGTTTGGGCATAGCTGAATCCAGCTTAGCCCTAGATTTTGTCAGTGGATTATGTCTGTACAGATGTAATAGAAACTTTGGGTAAGATACCACCACAGGATTGAGAATGGCAAATCAGATACATTTATATAAAACAAATAATTTATCACGATAATTAGACAAAAATATCTTAATGATTTACTACAGATTAGAAGCGATAATGATTTCTATAGTATGATTCACTATTTTGAAGCAGTATTCATTATATTAAAGCTAGCAAATCAAATTACACACTAGTGCCTGAAGTTACTCACCCATACCAGTAATTCTGGGCAAAGCTCTCTGCTTCAGCCTCAAAAGGGGGTGTCCCCATGCAAAGGAAGGAATCTCCACGCACTCTCTGGGAAGGAGGGTGTAAGAAGACCCTGCCTTTAGAAACTGGGAGCAGGCTTTTACAGTATAATGTGATTGTCAGCTGTGTCAGCTAAGCAGCTTTAGATACATTATCAATAGTAGCACTTGCTGGTTTCCTTTATTTGGTTTTTTACCAGTTCTATCACATCTTCACCTCTATATTCAGGATGTTTAACTTTGAGGACTGACAAATCAGACACAATTCAGCTTTATTCAACACCAAAAGCAACAAGACACCCCTTTCTCCATTCACCACTGGTAGCTTTGCAAATAGGGAATTGTTCAAGTCCATTCACCCCCACTGTGGGCAGAACATCCTCATACAGAAAGGTGACTGGGCTGTCCCTCTCTCTGTCCAAGGGGTATAGTATCCATCTGTCCAGGAGTTCTGTGTGTCTGTGGGCATAACAGGAAAGGCAGTCGAGCACCTTTCCCTTTCCCTTCCCACACCAGGATGGTACAGCCTTCAAATGCTGCAGTGGCAGAGAAAGAAGGAAAAGGAAGGAAGGTGCCCAGCCCTGGGCAGAAGGGGTTTCGATTTAGCCGAGGGCCCGCAGGGCTGTGGCTCAGGAGCTCCCCACAGAGGCCTTAGGAGGAGCGCTCTCCCCTCTGCCACCGGCAGGAAGGGCAGAGCCAGGAACCAAACAAGAAGCAGGTCTTACCTGCTGCCACTTCTGGAGAAGTGGTGAAGAGTCAGACCCTGCTCCCTTTAGCAATACTTCACACGGGCCAGACACCCCTGGGACTTGTCCCCTCCCTGCCTCCCTAGCCCACCAGCCCAATCCAAGAAGAAACATGGGAGCAGAAAGGATTTCCTCTTTTGGCTTGGCCTGGTGGAAAGAAGACACCAAAGAACAAGAGTAGACAGCTGGACAGCTTTATTAAGAACTGAAGTGATTTATCCCCTTAAATGTGCTCCACTGCCTGCCCCCGGCGCCAGCAGGGAGGGGGCCATGGTACCAGACCAGGACCTGCTTCTTGGGCTCAGATTGTCACTGTCCAGGGAGCCGGGTCTCCCCTGGGGATTGTATCTGCCACAGGCCCCCCTGGGGCAGAGCCAGTCAGTACGTGCAGTGTCACCCCAGGACAACTACAGCATCCACGTGCCTGAGTGCACCACTCCAATGTCCTCACACACACATTCACCCACAGCCTTTTTTTCCCTGCAGGACAGGTCCCCACCTCACCCAGCCCAATGACTGCAGGAGAGAGGTCTCCTGTGCCCCTGGACAAGGCACCAGCTGCAGTTTGGGCTGGCTGGGGAACCTGCAGGCTATCAGAGCCCTGAGCGATGGGGAAGGGGAGGCACAGGCTCCAGCAGCAACTCCTCAACCCACCACGCTCTGAGGAGACATCCCCCACACCTCTGGTCCCCCTTTGTGCTCAGCATCAGTGGCTGGAAGCCCCCTGAGGTCAAGGGCACGTAGTGGAGGTAGGGAAGGAAAACAGCAATGTGAGTACTAGCACAGAGCGGGAGGGGAGGGTCCCTGCCTGCCATCTGCAGCCCCCCCAGCCCCTGGTGCACCCAGTGCCCTGCCCAGTGCCGAGGCTCAGGGGTGCGTGGGGCCCTGGAGGAGCTGTGCGGGTGCTGGTGCCTGGCCAGCCCGGCGCTCCAGGGCCAGCTGCATGCTCCAGATGCTGAGGGGCCGCATGTAGGCCAGCGAGCGGTACACCTTCTTCTCCCGATAGGCCTCGGGTGTCTGGAAAGCCATGCCCAGCCGTTCCCAAACCGTCCTGTAGCAGCCCTCCGCCGTACGGAAGCCTTCCTCCACCATGCCCTGCAGGAGAGGGAACAGGACCATCAGCACCTCCACGGAGTGCAAGGAGCAGGTGCTGGGGAGCGCGGCAGCGGCATTCCCGCTCACCTCCTGGATCATGGTGGCGGCCAGGGAGTAGACCACGCCGACCCACACCTCGCTGGACTGCACGCTGGAGGTGTCGGGCACGCCGTCGGGTCTCATGCCGTTCACTGCCCCCATGGTGCCACCCGCAAAGCTCAGCACGTTCTTCTCAAAGATGGTCTTGAGAGCGCTGAGAACGTGACTCTTGGGGAAAACCTGGGCAGAGAGAGATGGGCTTGGTGCTCATGTGGACCCCTCAGGGCGTAATCAGAGCGGGATTAAATTTTCCATGAGGAAAAGGGCAATACTGCTCCCTGGGTCAGCTGCAACAAATTCCCACCTCAGAAAAAATAACAGGACAAAGTGAAACATCTCTTTCCCCAAAAGGATAAAAAAGCCCCCAAAGAACTTAACAGAGAGGTGCTGAACCACATTCCACGTTCCTCAAGAGGATGCTGACAGCTCATCCAAGTACTCGATCTCCAAAAACAGATTCTCACCCACAGTCACTGGCAATGCCCCTTCCCCATCGCTTGGGGGTTGGCTTTGGGGGCCTGGCCAACCATACCATCCTCATCTGCTTTATGGTTGTCACTTGCAAGAGAGACAAGAGGCAGGAAGCTCATCAGCACAGACCAGAGAGGTGCCAGACACTTGTTCTCGGTCTGGTGACACCAGAGTTGGTGGAAGCAGAGGCTGCCATGGCACTAGGCAGAACCTGGCCAGGAAAGGCTGTGAAGGCCAACCAGACAGCTTTGGCAGACTCAAAGCAAAAGCAGAAAATCCCTTCTCTCTATGCTCAAGCCAAGCATTCCCTGCAGACATTTTCCCCCAGTGTGGCTCTGGAGACAAGCCCAGGGGGTGCTCTGGGAATCCGTGAAGGGCCCTTCTCTGGAAGAAGCTTTGGGGCACACTTTCTTCAGGACTCGATCTCTTACATCACATTTCTGACTTGTTCACTGCTGCACTCTGCACCCAGCAACCGAGGCTACAGACAGGAGTGGTGGCAGCCAGGCAATGGATCAAAATACATGGAAAAAATCCATGAAATGGCATAGGAACAGAGGAGAGGAATTCACCACAGTCCCACCTCCCAGTCGGCTCAGAGCTCACCAGAGACAAAGGGAGAAGTGCCACCTTCAGCAGCAGGAGTGTGAGGCTGGGGAAAGGCAGCCCAGATTCTGGATGGCACCACATTTACTGTTTCCTCCCCAAGAGGGCATTACTGCAGGAGGGCTGGACCAGACCCTGCCTGGAGCCCCAGACACAGCCCCAACCCCACACTGGGTTAAGCACAGGAGGGAATAACCAGGTGAAGCCACCTGAAGCTCCCCTCTGATTTCCCAACAGACACTGAAGTGGTTTGTCACCCTCCCACGGACAAAGCCACTCTCCCTTCACTCAGCCGAGGCCTTTGCCTGCCCCTGTCCAGCAGAAAGCTTTGCTGTGACAAATGCCCACGGGGTATAAATAAACCACTGCCCCTCTCTCTTTAAGGTCTTGCAGCACCAGCAGCTGCTCTGACCACCCCACCAGACATGAGGAGTCTGCAGCCAATTCTCCTCTTCCAACTGAAGAGCCCCCAGGACTTGGAATAAACCATAGTTCCCTTCAATATTAATTTTGGACTTTTTAGGGCAGTGAATATTGCAGAAAGTTTCATACACACTTTTCTGCTGTTTTTAAACAAATAGCACCTTGCCCACAGAAAACCCCACTGGGGCCAAAGCTAACTGCAGTTACACATCCCTGCTGCAGGGCCTCTCTGTGAGAGGGTTTTGGTTTAAGATGGATTCCACTGTATCCCGTCCAATATCCTTCCCTTAGGGTGTGCAGAGTGAGAGAACAGGCAGGCACCCCCCACACTAGCCCTAAAGTGTAACCTCCAGCACGTGCCAGCCCTGCTGCTTCTTCCCTCCTGCCACAGGTCCCATCTCACCCCAACCACACCAGGCAGCCCCTTCTCTTACCTCATGGTCCAGACCACAAACTCCAAGAAACCACTGCCCAGCACACTGGTCTGACATGATGCTGCTGGACGTGTCACTTCCACTGCTATCATAGTTGTAGTATTTTCCTGGGAAAGGCAGAAAACAGTTTAAAATCAACAGATTAAGGATACTGGCTCGGGTAAGCTGTCCCTACACACCTCTCTGTGTGTCAGGAGCACAGCTGCTTTTTCCACAAGACTCCTCTTCCTTTCCCATACCTGTTCCCTCTTAGACACCTGCTTCCTTCCCCTCCATTTAAAGGGGCAGCACCTCCCTTCCTTTCCCCCCATCTGCAGGGACAGTATTGCCCCTTCCTTCCCCCATTCCCCACAAGGCTCCATGATCCAAGGAGGAGCCACTCCCTCCCAAGGGACACACGGCCAGCTGAGTGTGGTTCCTCACTGCTGAGCACCCACCATTCCAGAGCATCCTCTCAAAGGCCTCCTTGCCCTTGTTCAGGATGTCCAGGTATTTCTGCTGGATCTCAGTATCCCCGAGCACTTCTGCCATCTTGCACATCATGCAGACAGCAGCCAGCCACAGTCCACCGCAGTAGGCACTGCCCGAGCCAAACAAGAGAAGTATCAGGAATGTGGGACACCTCAAGGGCTCCGTGGCAAATGGGACACAAAGGCCCATCTCTGAGCTATGTCCTACCCCACAGCCCCCACCTCCCACCTGCCTGTCTTTCTCACCTGGCTCCATGCACCACCCACGCGTCGTATGTCTGGTCAGCAAAGCCACCGTTTTCAATGAGCCCATCGTTATCCGTGTCAAACTTCAGCTCTGACTCCATCACAGCCTGTGGGAGAGGCAGGAGATGGTCACGCAGTCCTCACATCCTGGAAGCTCCTCACACTGCTCAGGAGCATCCATCCTCTCAGGAAGCTGCTTGGCTCCGGAGGGAAGATGCTCCGGGGTCTGATCTCCCAGTACCTGGCACACTGGCCACATGTCCTGCAGGTACAGGGAGTCATGTGTCAGGTAGTAGTCACGGTACACCTGCAGCACAAACTTCAGGTTGAGGTCCTTCCAGTCAGCAGTGTCGTGCATCAGGTAGGCATTGACACGCTGCCATGGCTCATCACCTAAACCAGGACAGACCAGATGCAGCAGGGCAGCAAGCAACAAACATCCCTCCTCCTACACAGGAGCAAGGAACCAAGGGTGCTGTGATCAAACAGCACTGAAATAATATGTTGTACCCTGTGCCATCTCTAGTGAGAACAGCCTTCCTGCTACTTCCCTCCGTCTCCCTTGTAAAAGTTCCATGCAGCACGGTCTTCATCACCACCCCACACCATCCAGCTTTCCATTCCCAGAAAATACAGAATCAAAGAATCATTTAAGTTGGAAAAGACCTCTCAGCACTGCTAAGTCCACCACTGAACCACATTCTTACGTGCCACATCTACACTTCTTTTAAATACACCAGGGATGATGGCACCACAACTTCTCAGGCAGACAGTTCCAATGCTTGACAAGAATAAGCAGTTTATTTCATATCCCATACCCATTTTCCACAGCTTGGCATCCCCTCTGCTCCCCCACAACCCTAACAGACCCCTCACCTGGGTCTCCAATGTCATGTGGCACCACATTCTTCATCTTCACCTGGGCTGTCTGACCACACATCAGGTACTGTCGGGGCTGGACATCCTCATTCACCACAGTGACAGCTGCAGAGAACAAAGCAGGATATGTAAGAAAGGCTGCAGAAAAGTCCAAGCATAAAAGCCCAGGCAGGGCCACCAACACCAGCACACCAGGCTGCCCTTTGGAGCTCCAAGATCACAGCCCTCTGCAAATGGTCAGGCTGCTCTCCACCCCCTGCTCAGCACGGGACATGCAACTGTCACCACCCCATTAAGGAAGGGCTGGGAAGGGAGCTCAGCAGGCTCAGCCCTATCAGAGCACAGCAAAGCACTGTGCTCCACACCCCTACTCAGGCCATCACCAAGCAGCCACCAAACCCATCCAGAGAAGTCTGAGTCTGCAAACAGCTCTGTGTGGCTGCTCCGCAAGGCACAAGGACAGAGCTGGGAAGACCAGGGGCTCCCCCAGGGCAGGCAGAGCCAGCTGTGCACGCCCAGCATGGCAAGAGGGCACCCCCAGTGCTGGGCACAGAGATGCTGAGGCAGCAGCATTCCAGGCCTGCAAGCCCTGGGCACAGCAGAGCGGCTGCAGGGGGATGCTGGCTCCGTGGCACACATCCCTACAGCAGCCCCTGTCCCAAAGCCTCCGCCTCTTCCCGAGGTGAAGCCCTGAGCAGGCACCAAGGCAGGGCCTCTGGGGACACTCACCAATGTCGTACTGCAGGCTGATCTGCAGCTTGGGCCACAGCATGATGAGAGCGAAGGAGGCGTAGAAATGGACATCGTAGGTGTTGTACATGCGGTACTCCTGGCCTGGCGGGACGGGGCAGATGGTGAGGGAAAGGAGACTGCCCTGGCCAGGGGAAAAGGGGGAAAGGTCCTCCCTCCACATGGCCCACGACAGGAGGATCTTTCCCACCACGGGCAGGGGCTCCCGTTCAAAGACACTTTCATTCTCTACACAGGGATTCCCCAGGGATCTGGGGAACACTTCAGGCCAAATCCTTTGGGGCTGCTAAGAAAGGGGTTTTCCTGGCAATAGCACTGCTCTCTACACACTGGAGTGTGAAAAACATCCCCGTGGCAGGTGAAAAACAGATGGCCACAGTAATGGGAGGGGCTGAGTTGGGAGAATCCCTCACGTCCTTGTGAGTTACCTTCCAAATAAGCAAACCTTCCGTATTCCCGCAGGACAGGGAGGAGGTGAGACAGTCCCGCCCCCGCCGGCCCCTGCAGGTCCTCGGCACAGCAGTCAGGGGACACCTCCATCCAGATGGTGCCGCCATCCGTCATGAAGTAGAGCTCATTGAAGAGGGCTGACTTGTACCAGGAAGGCAGCTGGCTGCGGGAAAGAGGGAAGCTCACCCTCAGAGGCCGAGCTGGTGATGCTCCTGTGGCAGCCAACCCCAGGGGGGCACTGGGAAGGTGCTCTCATCTGTCCTACCTGTTCTCCAGGATGGGATTCTGCCACGCTTCGATCTTCCTGTCCCCTGACTCATAGTGTGTTAGGGCAGAACTAATTGTCAAGAACAGTATCCAAGTGATATGAACAGCTTTTGGGGAAATCACAACAAGGACAAGCAATGGGAAGTTTGGATACTGCCTAAATTTGGGAACAAGCCACAGCACCCTGGAGAAATTCTTATCATCCAAGCAGGCTGCAGGAAAGAACTCTGCCCTGACTTGGGTGCCCAGAACCAGCACGGCCACCCATTTCCCCTGCTCCCCCCACTCCCATCCCACGCAGGATGGAGGGACTCACCGGTGGGTGAATCCAGCCTGCCATCCTGCAGGAGGTCCTGCCACACCTCTCTGCCCAATCCCATGGGATTGAATGCCGTGACATGGGTGACTCCCGTGCCAGCCTGAGGAAGGGAAGAGCATCATCAGGGGCTGCTGCTTTGGAGGACAAGATTAACGCTCTCTACTCCCCGACAGCACCACCAGGAGATCACACTCACTCCCCATGTGCTGCCCAGCAACTCCAACTCCAAACCTGTTGCCTCAGCTGCTCTCCTGACACCACCCCCAAAGAGGCTGCTCTCAGGGGAGTCATGTCCCCACTCCTGGCATCAGGCAAGTGCTGAGAACCGCTGTCAACCCCAAGACCTTTGTCACGATCCGCAAGGTGGGATTCGTGATGTGGTTCTTTTATTTGGTCTTAGAGTACAAAAGATTATCAGCAAACCAGGGACTTGAACAGCAAAACACACTTTATTGAGTGCTCATCAGCACTAATATGTGATAGAGGGAAAAGAGGAGAAAGCAAAGCCCAAGGAAAAGAGAGTAGTAAGGGAATATAGCTACCAATGTCAAAGTCCACTCAGCCGTCCATTGACGCAGAATCTTCTGTCTGTTGGGGAGATCTCAAAGGCAAGTAAGTTTTGGGATGTATTTTATATTTTTTACAAAGCGAGGGGCACAAGGCCAAAACCAGAGGAGATTGATGACCATTGTGATGAGGCCCATTGCTCAGGGGGGCAGTTGTGGGGTACAAGTCTGTACTCACCAGCCAGAGCGAGGGCAGTGTACCGCAGCAGCACAACAAGCACACCTGCAAACAATCACTTGGCAAACATCCACCTCAACCAGGCCAGAGCCCCTGTACCAAGTCCCTTGTGATGTTCAGGGTCTTTCCTTGTGGCAGTTGTGAGACAGATGCGAGAATCTTCGGACCATCTCTTACACCCCTGCACACCCATCCTTTGCCAGCTGCCTGCAGGCAGCTCCCCCACATCCAGCAGGGCTGCACATCCTCCCCAGCAGGAGCCCCAGCAGCAGGGCCAGCCCTTTACCTTCTCCCGGGCAGAAATGGCCAGAGTGAAGGAGTTATAAACGGCTCATACACTTACAGAAAGTGTATCCTTGTTTATTAAACGAAACAAATCACTAATTGAGGACAGAGCCCCAGGATAAGCCCAGGACCAACTTGACAAAACAGAGAAAATTTTAACAGTTAACAGCCCATACAGAAAAAACATGGCCAGGCATTCCTCAGGAGGCTTGGCCCTGTTGGAAGACCCTAAATATCAGCCTTTACTCTCTTTATAAGTTTGCCACCAGTCCGATTGGTCCATTTTGGACTCCTCATCGAAGCTCTCCAAATCTAAGCTCTTTCTTTGGTTCATATGGTGGAGCATTCCACACCAATTATTTTTTCATAAGTCCTCTTCATTGGTAGTTTTCTCCTCCAATTGCAGTCCACCACATTGTTCCTGGTTGCAGCATTCAACTTCCAGAAAGTTCTCAACTGGATAACTCCCTCATTACAACATCCTCATACAACCATCATGTAACTTACATAACTTTTATTAACCTAATTAATCGTGAACTAATGTCTTTTTGACAAAGGATACTAACATATTCATAACAAAGGAGTTCACAGCTGGGCAGTGGTGCAGCAGGACTCCAGCCACCCGCTCGCCATCCTTCTGGAAGGTGAAGGGCTCGTTCCAGTGCCCACCGCTCCTGTCCTC